TAGCTTACAGATGACCATGACGGTGTCCATCCGTCATAGGATTGGTGTGTGGCGAGCATTGCATCTTGTTGAAATATTTGACAAGCTGGTTGAAACGGCTGACGAAACTGAATAAGAGAATTTCGCGTCACTCGTGAGCACTGCTCGAAGTTAGTCTGTTGGAAGCGTTGGAGTGGGCCAAGGAGGCTTGGCAATGTGTGACGCAAGTCACTATTGTAAATTGTTGGCGCCATACTGGTATTATTGACAAGGAGGTTTATGATTTGGTTGATAGTATGCATAGCCTTTAAAAAGAATGAAACGTGTTTGTGTTTTGTCTTCAGGAGGTTGCCACCGTGGCATTGTCGATTGTCGAATTTAGAGGGTCACGTGAAAGGCCTAATGCTAAACGAGCCCATCGACGCAACTCAACTCTTTTCATGGCAGCGCGTGACGCATGCTGCTTTAACAGTGTACGCTTCTGCTCGATTATCAATCGTAGCCGCGACAACGGCGACGGCATGCTGAGTTCCAAGTGTGAGCGTCGCCAACAAGTGTTACATTATTTGCGTGGTTAATTTAAAAGTTGAATGTACCTCTCAGATTTTATGACTGATTTGCATGCAAAATTATGTTTTCTGAGAGGATATAGATTTATGGTGGGTTCCTTATTCCGGGGGACTACTGTATTACTATTAATAGTACTATTAATAGAAATACAATGGTGAAATATAGTAAGTACTTCAAGTACCTAGTACTAATCATGCACATTGTATTACTATTAATAGTACTATTTTAATCATAATATTAATAGTAATACAATGGTGAAATATAATAAGTACCTACTTTAGTTGATTTGTCAGATCGGAAAAGAATGTGACAGTCCAACTGCCAGAATGTCCAAACCCCACGACTTTAAATAAACGAAAGCAATTTATTTTAACAGTGTATAGTGTTTGAAAGATATTTTCGCTAGTCTACACATTGAAATGGAGCCGATCACACCAAGCATATTGACCTATAGCTTTGACAGGTCATTCTAACACAATGGCCCGTTTAATGTCTTGTCCTGTCGAAAATCTGTTCCATGTATTCGAAGTACCACTTCAGTCCAACCAGAACAAGTTATTATTACATTCTGTAAAATAATACAGTCGAAATTCGTTTTTGGTTGGATGGTGTTGAAGATATGAAAATCATGAAATCTTATGCTGCATTCGAAAATGAAGGAAGCTACTCCTCATGCAATACTCCACGTATTGGTATGTAACCTAGCCCAGTACACGCAGGACATTGTCGTAGATGTACTGGGCTAATCCGTAGTTAATAATATTTTGGATTGGCGGAGGAGTAGGCTCCTTCAATTTCGGGAAAGCGCTTTCGCCCAAACGTACGGTACCGCCAGTCGAGGGTCCCACACCACAGTCATCACTGCCAGTGCGTCATTTGCTGGGTGTGTGTCAAAAGGGCCGCGGATAGTAGACATGGGACCGCTTCGGCCTAGCCCATTGTTGTGCTGTCCCGGATACCGGCGCCACCTATATGTATTTGGTCACTTGGTTCCCACGGCACTCGACGGTACGAATGCAAAACAAACTTTCAATACCATCGACCTGTTTTTGCTTTAGGCAGCGACTATGGCTTTGACGTCTGGCCGTCCACAAGGCTTGCGTCCAAGTCGGGCAAGGCAAGTTTCTCTTGTTCATCGGCCAATGCCAAGTTTGACGTTGACAACATCCATTTGTAAGAGCGATTCAAGAACATTGGCCGCTCGTGGTTGGAACTGTCCAATGTTTCGTCGTCTTGGAAGTCGACGCCGTTGAGGTGGTGGACGCCTTGGGTCTCTTGGTTGGCATTCTGGATGACGTGGCATTTTTCAAACCCACTGATGATGGTTCGTCTAGCGATGTTGTCCCACGCGTCGTTGACCCATTCGACAAGCTCGAAGCGATCTGGCGCACGTAGCTTGAAGGGTTCGTCCGACAACCGTCGATTTTGGCTCTCAAGTGGTCGACCCACTTACGCACTTACGTAATTCAGGGGCTTCATCCATGCAACGTCGGCAAGCTGGCAGATCCAGGTAAAGGTTGGGGGTATCTTCTCGAGGACAACGTTGACCGTCTATGCATAGGCCACGACATATTCGGTGAAGTGTGCGCTGAAATCGTCCCAAAGCAAGAGTACAGGCTTGTTGTTTTTTCCTTGACGATGTCAAAAGTGGTACGTCAAGAACGCAATCGAGATTGTACTATTCCACCATGCCGTAGGGTTGCCATAAATACGAGATGGGTGCCGTTCATGTAGCTCTTCAATCTCTTGCCACACTTGTCGACCAAATCCATTGCGAGTTGTGAGGTTTTCTTGAACGACCTTCTTGACTTTTGACTCCATTGACTTTAGCACCAAAAAAAGTGGGTATTTGTTGCCCTTGGATTCAGCAAGAAGCATTGCCGTCATCCGGTCTTTCTCGTGGCCAGCGCACTTGATCCACACAGTTTTCGCTCCCTTGGCGTTGATGGTCTCCTTCGGTAAATATTCGTAATTTATCCCAGTTTGATCGGCGTTGTAAATGTCTTCGATCGCGTGTTCTTGGATGACGGATTGAATTCGACTTGCAAACGCATTGCGCGCGGCTTCGCCTTGAGCAAGGTAGGATTGCCCAGATCGCGTCTTTGCACGCATTGACATCTTCCAGCGGCGAAAGAAGCCATCAACCCACGACGGACTAGCCTTGAACTGGGCAGTCGAGAGTCTAAGGTCCTTGGCTACTTCTAAAGCCTTGCATGAAAGTAGCAACCGACTGACTGGCACACCCAGTTGGCAATGTTTTCTTCGGCAGCACTGTCCAAGGTGGTTCCTGTCGCGGTTGATCGAATGATGCGGTTGGATGCGGATGAGGGTGAGCTTGCAGCTTATGTGATGTAGTCAATCTGGCTACGCCAATGCAGTATCTTCTTCCACACAGCTTGGCGAGCAACACCAGTAACCCCTTTGAAGAAAGTGTCCAAGGTGGACTCCATTGTGTTGTTTTCTAGCCATTGGAGGACATGGAGCTTCTTGGCATAGGTCGTGAACACTCGCTGGTGTTTTGCTGGCCCTTTTCGAGGAGTGTTTTTGACACGAGGTCTTCCCGACGCAAGTCGGTGAGGTGCTGGACGGGTAGGCGCCATGACAAGCTTTCGCGCCTTCGCCGATGTTCAAAGCATTCTCTAAGACCTAATAATAATTCGTTTGTACAGTTATGCTGTTGCAGCGGTATCCTCTATACAATGATGAACAAAAATATTGATATACACGGTTTTTTCGTTTCCGATCTGACAAATCAACTAAAGTAGTACCAATCATGCACATCTTGTGTACTGTACCGCATGACAATACAGGTAACATCTAAGTTAAACCTCCAGCCCGAGCGGGTGGAAGTTCGGGCTGTGGCCTAGTTCTCATGTATTAATACGAAATAAAACTTTGGTTAATACCCCGTGTACAGTGAGTGCATGCATTATATGCCGGAGATGTTGACTGTATCCTCGCTCAGTGCCAAGTCGAACACATTTCAATTGCCCTTGAACCTGTACAACGTAATCAATCAGTATATTGTGTTATGGAGGATTTTGATATTTTTTAGAGGAGATGTACGCCAGCGGCTTTAGTTCGCATTGCAGACCATGGTTGATTCAGTAGCCTGTGCCATCATTTCCGCGTTAACAACGTCGTCGCCTCGAAGAGTGCAAACAATACCACTCAGCCCCCCACGATCGTTTCTACACCAGCGCAATGAATAGAGTCGTTTGTCATTTGATGACCACGACGTGGAAATACTCCAAGAAAACCGCAACGTCGTCCACAACAACCAAATACTGTTTTGCATGGACGTGCATCAGACGATCTCGAAACAAAAGCGGATCAAGCCTAGCAAAGGCGGCATGGTTTACGCGCGCCCGGGAATCTCCCGTCGGTTCTCCAAGTTCCGATCTCTTCACGATGCCCTCACCCGCGACGGGCTTCAACTGCACCCCTTTACCCCGCCAACCCCTGGGTTGACTTTTGGATAAGGTATTTCCCTATCCCCGCTTTGGCCACGCGACTTCGTTCCCTCGACGTGATCAACTTGTCCCCCCCGTGCAAGCCACGCACGCTTTCAAGACGTTTCTTGGTCCGACCCCGGATGTCCGCCTCGCATACACGATGTAGCACTGCGGGAGGAAGCGTGTGTAGTTGAGGGCAAAATGCACAATGAATTAACTGAAGAGCTACAAAGATCTCCTAAATCCTGAATCCTCATCACTATGAAATCTTCTTAGTCTACTTCACTACTTCTAAACTAATATGCACTTTTGTATACAATGGATGCGGGTGCGGTTGAGACATTGGGGAACTTCACTAGGCTAGCGATTCTAAGCCATACTTGCCGTTGAGACACATTCCCAGGCAAGCATTAGCTAGGGTGCATCATGAGCCAGGTACTTAGGAGCTGGGTACGGGCAAGGTGGTGGCAAGGCGTTACTTCCACCTCACATCGCTACACAGGACATTGCAGTAAGCTTATAGTACCGTACAGTGTGGATAAACCATTGCTTTATACCAGTACGTGACACTACTGTACACCTACTAGGGGGAGTCAATTTAGGAAAAAGATCAATTTTCATTTTCGATTCTACTTTTCACTTTCTTCTTTTCGTCACGGAAACCAAAAGCTACTTGAAGTTGGTGGAGTCCACCCATGTAACGATGAAAATAACCAATCATCGCAGTCTATTCCATGGCATACAAATACTAATACAAACACGAAAACGCAGCGGCGTCACCAATTGTCAACCACCGAGAGCCCAAGCTGCCAGTGACGAAATCAGGTGTCGTAGGGAGCATGAAGCGCAAGCTTAGGGGCATGAAGAGTTATAGTAGAAGCATACCTTAACAGACGTTGGCACACAACACACACAGATGTAGGGATAGAGGCTCAAAGGAAGGTGGATTCAGAAGTGAGCTTAGCTCTAGAACCTCCATAATTATCATCGCCAAAGACATGCATACATGTAAGTAGTGCAACCTTAGCTGCACTGATTGAAGTTTGTCATATCTCTCAATATATGCAACCTTCAAGTAGTGTGTGTAGGATCAAAACAAGGTAGCTATTGGGCCTCGACACACTGAAGTAGTCGAGGGATGTGAAGCCTGGAGCTCTTCCAGCTTCAATCACATATATATAGTTTTAACTATGTAACTTCAATCC